GTTCTTGTCTCTGCCTGGTCCTGTGTTCTGTGCCTCCCGTTCCTGTGTTCGCTTGCAGCATTCCTACAGTAAAAACTGTAAGACTATGCCAACGTCCCAAAGTCTCAAGTATTTGGGCTCCGGGGGGCGCCGAAGGCGCATGCCATGGAGGAGTCTACAGATGAGTGGGTTCTGGACACTGGTGTCCCTTGAGTCGGCGTATGAGCCGCTGAGATGGCTGAACGTATCACGTTGACGAATCGGTATGACTTCCCGGCTGTGAACAGAGAGGTGAGGAAATTCATGATGGAGGGAATAGGTGCCGTAAAGGGATTGAGATCCCGTCCCAAACACCAAGTTGTCCAGCAGTGCCATGCTGATAAGTAGCACCTCCTTGTTCCTGGCGCCCATGAGTCCCATAGGAGCTCCCTAGTTTCCTGCGATAAATCCTCGGTTCGCCAGGAACCCCTGAAAGAGTCCAGGCCACCAGGGGAAGCCGGTCCTCCCTGACCAGCAGATGGGGTAGTCCCATCAGGTTCCTGAGAATGGTCGGAGTATCTGGTAGGAGGAGGGAATCCCTGTTCGACAGCTCCAGAAGATCCGGAAACCATGGTTGGCTTTGCCATAGAGGCGTGATGAGGGTCAGTATCACCCTCTGCATGCGGATTCGGTGGAGAACCCTCGTAATCATGGAGAATGGAGGGAATGCGTAAGCCCCGTGTTGTGGCCATTGTTGTAGGAACGCGTCCGTTGCTAGACTCTCCGGATCTGGGAGCCAACTGAAGAAGTCCTTCGTCTGATGGTTGTTGCGGAAGGCGAATAAATCCAGGGAGAAGGGACCCCTTTGTGCGTCCAGAATTGTGAAAATATGAGGGTCTAGTTGCCAGTCGCTGGCGTCCCTCCAGTGGCGCGAGTACCAATCCGCTGTCGTGTTGGTTTCTCCTGGTAGGTGTTCCACTAACAGCGTGATGTTGCGAGGCAGGCAATAATCAAAGATTTCCTTCGTGAGTTCTACTAGTGCCTGGGAGCGGGTGCCTCCGAGTCGGTTGATGTATCTTACCGCCGAGACATTGTCCATCCGGAGCAGGATGCAGCAGTTGGATCGTTCTTTTGCCAGACTGCGAATGGTGAACAATCCCGCCAGGAGCTCCAGACAGTTGATGTGCATCGAAAGTTCTTGGGGAGTCCACATTCCCCCCGTGGAGGAGGTGCCGTCTGTTGCTCCCCAGCCTGAGCGGCTGGCATCTGACTCCAATATGAAGTCTGGTTGGTTTCCGAATATCGCCCGGCCGTTCCAGGCCTGCATGCAGTTCAGCCACCAGTGCAGTTCCACCCGAACCTCGTCTGACATGGGGACCGGTTGGTCGTATGTTGGGTCTTTGCGAAGGAACTTTTTCCTGAGGCATTGCATGGCTCTGTAATGCAGGGGTCCAGGAAAGATGGCCTGGATGGATGACGAAAGGAGGCCCACGATCCGTGCTAGCAGTCGTAAAGGTATGGATGACAGTCGAAGTACCTTCCGAATTTCTCTGCCTGAAGGCCTAGAGTGCACGATGTTGAGTCTATCTCGAACCCAAGGAATTCGATCGACTGAGCGGGAGTCAGTGATGACTTGGGGCCGTTGATAACGAAGCCCAGTGAGTCGAGTAGGTGTACGGTGTAGTCTGTGTGCCTCTTTAGGGTCCTTGCATCCTCATCAAATTTTAAGATGTCGTCGAGGTAGAGCTGGTTGGATGGCACCCTTGGAGTGTAAGTCCTGTCTATCAAAGAAGAGAGGGCGTTCGGCAAAGGAAACGAGCCTATGCGAATGGGTGAACAGAAAGTGCTATTCGTGAGGCGAAAATGACGTGCGAATGACGCTTAAGGCGGGAAAAGGCCGCGAAGAGATCTGACACTGGGAAGTATAGGTGAAGACGGCGAGAGTGCCGGTAAGACTTCCTGTAAAGGGTTAGGCTAATAAAAGCAGAAGAAAAAGGTCCCAGAGCCAGAAGGGGGAATATGCAAAATACGAAGCATCCTGTCATGTGATAAAATTGTGTACCGAACTCCTGGATTGTTAAAACGGATTCCCTGCCTTCTCCTCTCCTTTGATCTTGGACTGAATTTGGATTATCCTGCTCTCAAACCCTCAAAAACCGGACTGTTAGAAGTTTATGCTCCTTCCTGACTTCAAGTACCCTCCCATCATACTCTAAGTATACACTTAATCATAATTCTGGGAATTGCATTATTAATGAACTTTAGCCTGCTTGCTAACTATCTCCTGCTACAACTTTGTT